CCATTTACCACAGATACGTGTACAAACACATTAAAAAATAGATACATTTACAGTCGTTAAAAGCCGAATTTCAAAAGGAAAAGTTCTAGCAAACTTGACATTGAACAAACCTTGAACTTTGCAACTCGATTATCACAGCTAGACATTTCAATTGGAAAGCACGAGACTTGGTATTCGCAATGATATTTTCTATTAAGGAATCTGGGAGGTCGCGTCCTAGGTCAGTAACAAATTGAAATTAGTGACGAAAAATGCAGAGTATTGTGTGAAGATCTTGTTAAGATGGAGATGAAGCCTTTTATTGAAGATGATCTTCAGTTGTCTTTTAACAGTAGTAACACTAGAGCAGTGACTCAGTCAGTAGGACTCACTAGCCTTGGGGTCGCGGGTTTGTTCCAGTTCTTTTTTGAGAAAATTCTTCAGGATTTTCCAGCTTGGTTTCCCTTTGTCAGTGGTGCGGGACGAATTGCCTGACAAGGTGACAAGGAAGTTGTCTAGTCGTTCGTATGGGATGAAAAACCAAGGTCCTGTGTACACATTCTGTTATAGTATTATTGCACTAAATAAATAGAGGAGGATTATTATTATTATTATTATTATTGGCATGCATTTAAAAAGTGTCTGGAATTCATTATTAGAGTAGGCCGTAGCGCAGATGTCCAGGAAACATTTCCTTATAACACACTGCATGGCGTAGGCCCATCTTCATTAGCCTAGTCAGCGCAGAAAAGTAGGAAGTTAAACTTCATTTCACGAAAAAGAAAAGTTTGACCAAATGAAGTATTAGGTATAATTAGAGTTCATTACGAGGCTTTGATTGACCTTAACCTTCGATTAATGTGAACTGATATATGTATACATATAAAGCCATATGATTATATATTATTGTTGAATTATTAATGTTAATCAGACTGTCACCATGGCTACCACCTTAACCATTTCCTCTTTAATTTTTTCCCTAAGTTCTTGATATGCTACAATCTCTAGACTTGGAATGTGTTACAGAGATATAAATTATCTATGTGAATGTCACATTGTTCCAGAGGCAGACTGTATTGTTGTTTAATGCCCCAATAAGAACTGTATATTGGTTCTATTTTAAAATGTAATGATATAGAATTATTATCCCATGTCTAACAAACTTGTGAAGGGATATTGAAAAGGTGTTCGCCTGTCTGTTCAAATAAAATATTTTTTTCACAGTATAATTCACATAAACCTTTGAAGATGTCTGTATTAAACATAAAGTAGTTATTAATTATTATAGTAGTTATGCCTGTTATTAATTCGAAATTTCTTTGATTTAATAAAATGTCTGTTTCATTTACTTTCCATGGAAACAATTTTAACAGTAAGACTAATAATGTGCTCACATATCTAGCCAGCTAAACATTTTTCCGTGCAATAATCAGTATATACATATGTATGCGCCATTTGCATTTTAGCTAAAATATCAAATATCTCACGGCTTAATACACTCTAAATATCAACTCAGATTGATTATTTAACATTTAATTAAGAAAGAAAAATCAAATATCGCCTGACTTGGATTCAATCGGATTTCAACTAGGCCCATCAGGTTTCTTGGTCATCATTAAAAGATAACAGCGTCTTGTTATGCTCGAGCATTGGTGAAATTTCAATTTAACATAACTTGTATATGTAGTATTGTAGTAGCTTGCTAAGGATTCCTATAGCTCTAAGTGACGTATCAGACCTTTAATGTTACCAGTGGTTGTTATTCTTTATTTTCAGATCAACAGAAGAAAATAACCAAATTCAGTCAACAGAGACCAAAGATAAGGTAAATAAATAAATATTATTGATTATCAATTAATTATATTTGTACATGAGATAACAAATGTTGTCACTACAAGATATGGGGTCCTACCTTATTTAGAAATTGTTGCTGTTTTATTTGATGTCATCTCAAACTTGTACCTATTACCGTGTTGTAGTTTGAACTAATTAAGCTTACCCAGCTTTAAAGAAACGATGGGTTGTGTGACCTATTAGATAATTTGAATTTTGATATGCCTACATTGAAATGTGGACGTATATTGCCGTCGGTCGGTCCGTCGTCCACAAGCCTATTGAATTTCAGCAATTTCCGTTTATTATGTCTAGAGTTATGGCCCTTGTTTCACTTTATTGAACCATGTGAATGCTCTAACGTCAAAAGTTATCATTCGATCTGTCTAAAATTTATATGCATTATTTAAAATAGTGAAGCCATGAAGCCTATTGAATTTCAACAATTTACAATAATTACTTCTAGAGTTATGGCTCTTGTTTCACTTTGTTCAACCTTGTTAATGTTCGATTGATGAAAGTTATCATCCAATATGTATGAAATTTATATGCATCATTAAAATTTGTGAAACAGAGATCTATTAAATTTCAGCAATTTCCGTCAATTATTTCTAGAGTTATGGCCCTTGTTTTACTTTGTGAACCCTGTGAATGCTTGCTTTGAATGACAAAAGTGATCATCCAATCTGTATGGAATTTATGTGCATTATTTAAATTAGTAAAATGAAAAAGCCTGTCAAATTTCAACAATTTCTGTAAACTACTTCCAAAGTTGAGGCCTTTGTTTCAGTTTGTAAAACCTTGTGGACCCTCAAACGACGAAAATCATAATCTGATCTGTATTGGAACTGTCTTGTAAAGGCCCCCAATTACCTACAGTACAAAGGAATAAATATGCGACAACTCTTGTCGACTGCTCAGACGATTTAGCTGCTGTGGGCGTATGTTTCGTTGCCTGGCAACCTATCTTTCTTCTTCAGTTCAAAACAAATAATACTTTGTTGCTGTATACAATAGCTCTTGAAATTGAAAATAAAAAGAACAGTCCCCATGAAGCCATTTATCAAGATCCCTAAAAATTGAACTAAAAATTAAATTGTTTTGGCTTAACGTTCATTTGTGACAACTAGTTCTGTTCAGGGTTCATTCATAGAAAATCCATATACCTTTAAGTTTAATTTGCTTTCATACATTTAAAAAAAATTTGGTAAAAAATTGCGACTGAGATAGTTATTTATCTGCTCAGATTTTCCCTGTGGTGTATCTACAGTAGAGCACCATTTGAAGGGGGATGCCACTGAGAGGTACTGGCAGTATGTTTAGTACATTGCATCAGTGTAGGTGCAAAGGAAGGTGCAATTCTAATTTTTATGTGACGCCATAATTTGTTAGTTAAAAGATTAACGAAATTGACTTGTATTTTTGAGGCGATTTTATAATACAGTTATCTAAAAAAAACAATGGGTGTCGGATATACAGGAGCCGCAAAGACCAGTGCTTGCTATAGGTGCTATTTTCCTCAGATACGCAACTGGATTTTCCAAATTTAAATCTATGTTCATCTTGAGGAACATGGGTTAATCTTATTTGCTTGGATTTTCCAAATTTAAATTTATGTTGATCTTAAGGAACATGGTTTAATCTTGTGATTAGGGTTAATATGAGATTAAGATTACATATATAATGTGTTGAACCCTAGACTGTCCTATATTATAAGATTATATATTATTATGTATAAAGCTAACTTTGATTGTTGAGTTTAAATGTGATTTAAGAGGTCTGAAAAGAATATTTATAATATTTTATAAGTACTTGTAAATAGGCCTCACCAATTTGAAACTTTGCTTCTTATTTCTTCGGGTAAAAGGGGGATTAAAAGTGTGCGCTTGAAATCACAAGGTCTGTAAATGAGTCCAGTGGTGTGGTTTCGATTCCCCACCTGTACGTGACAATGAGTAATTTTGCCTGTCTATCCTTGTGGGTTTTCTCTGGGTCCTCCGCTTTTCTCCCACTGCTAAAGACCCCTGTGCACAAGCAAATTATTGAAATAATATTCACCCATGTCTTAATCCTGAAATAACCTAGTTTGTGTCGAGTGGATGCTAAACCCCATTTCTCTCTTTTTCTTGGGGTAAAAAAATAATTGAAAACAAAAACTACTTGTTTGATCTATGTAAATATGTTTAGTTTTAATTCAATTGTAAATTTTGAAATTTTAAACAAAATATATTGCAAGAGACTTGGGGGAATATTCATTTATTAAACATGCATTATGCAAGAGCTAAATCTGCCTATTGCAGGTCTTTCTTTAGACTTGAAATGCTATCTAAATTATTAATTAGACATTAATTAACTTATCCAGACCATAATCAAGTCTCAATGCCATCGTTAGCCTGCAATATTTAATGGATTTGAATATATTTTGGGATGAATAATTGAACTAAAAATGGATAATCAAGACTTTTTATTATCGTACCAACGTTAGTTATGACGATCAAGGCTAGCCTAAAATTGAATCACAAATATCTCGGATCACGGTGAAGCAACTTGTCTGAAATTTTCAGCATATTTTGTTTACATTATCTATATTTAACTATTATAGCAAGAACTGTCAGCTCTTTATCTAAATCTTACCTAATGCCCCTTTAAATCCCAGTACAACTGAAAATTAAATTGGTTTGGTCTAAGTAGGATTTTAATATTAAAGTTAAAAGTTGGATATCCACCATGTTGATTTTGAAGAAATGAAATGGGGATTACCTTTGAATTTTTCTATGTCAAGCAATGTAAAGAAAGCGATCAGACATGATGAGGGGAATTTATTAACCGACCACAATGCTATTGTCTACTTGTACTTTGACATTCAACTGTCAGTGCCGACGAATCTTTCACATGGCGCCAGTCATATACATAGAATTTCTTTCTGCTTTGTCCCAACAGAACAAGTTGATTAAATGCTTTACCTTAGCATTTAGAATTCAAAGAAGAGTATATGGAAAAAATGCTGCCCATGCAAAATTTTCCCCACCACACAGTGCAGGCACGTCTTCACTAACCTGTTAGATTCTGAAAAGGAAGAAATTATTAAAATGGGGTTTAACATCCTTCTGTTCTGTTCTGACTGGGCTAATGAAGATGGGCATATGCCATACAGTGTGCTATGAGGGAAATTTTGCCTGGACAGTAGCACTACAGCCTACTCTTTTATGTCAATTTCTGTCAAGGGTTCTTTTATGTGCACGCCAAAGTGTACATGGTACCTCGGTTTTTCGTTCCATTTGAACGACTAGACAGCTGTCCTTGTCAAACCATCCGTCCTGCACCACTGACAATGGGAAACCATTCCGGAAAATCAGATGAACCAGCGACCTATAGACTAGTGAGTCAACGTCTTACTCTCTTAGCCACCCTGGTTCCCCTGGAAAGTAAGATACTACAACCCATTTCATTTCATTATTCCGAAAAGATATAAAATTGAGAAGGAAATAAGAAAAGAAAAGACTTGTTATATAAATAGTATCATGTGGAGAACCCTAAAGATAGTACTTAGTCTTATTTAAGGTGTGGACTGGCCATACCTCACCCAGAAACAAACTCAAGTTTGAAAAAACTTCAATATTGACACGGAAAACAGCGTTATTTACTTGTTGTCTTCACGACCACCAGTTAACGCTGGTTGGAGTCTCGTGTTTATTTGTATTACTTTGTTTTTATTTGTTTTTGTTAGAAAGTTTGGTGGGTGTGGTGTTCGGGTGGTTCATATCAGTAAACGTATTCTTCATTTGCACCTGATGTTAAACGTTGAGGAGGTCGCAAGACACTGTCATTCCTCTCTTCGGACGTTTCAAGATTTGTTCAGACTTCTTTTTGGGGATTAATTTTCGCCTTTGTTTGGATGCCATGTTCAAAAACTAACAGAAGGATGTGCACAACGTGCTGGATTTCTAACGTTTGTGTGGCAGAAACTTCAGCAGACGTGATATATAAAAATTAGGCGTGGTAGACCTACTAGTTACCATGACAACTCAAGGTCAGTGCAAGGTAAATACGATGATTGTTAAAACAATGAAGACTTAAACTTGAAGATCTTCACTTCATTTGTTTAAGGATAACAAATAGAAAAAAGTTTCTGAGATATTTGTGCAATTTACGCCTTCATTTTTGCGAATGAGAATTAATATATTATGTGATCATTGCCCTATGTTTGGAAGGGTCATTTATCTAAATGGCCTATATTTTAAGATTAATTAAAGATACTTTATGGGAGATTAAATAAAGAGCTGGCAGTTCTCACTATAATAGTTAAAAACTAGATAATATAAAGGGAATTTGCTGAAAATGTCAGTCAAATTGATCTACTCTAAACAGAGAATTTAGTGGTTGAATTTTGTTCTAGTCATCATTACTAAAGTCGGTACGATAATAAACATAGTCTCGATTATCCATTTTTTGATTTAATTATGAATGAGCGTTGAGAAGCAGATCGAGTAAATAATTAATCTAACTGAGGATAGTCTACTCCTTTAATTACATATTCATGCATCTTAATGTTTCTATTAAGTAGCATATATTGTTGATTTATGAAAATAAACCACATGATGTCTTTGCATAGAGTTGAAATATAATATAACCATCTACAAAATTATAGGAGTCGCGGTGGCTCAGTGAGTAAGATGCTAGTTCGCTAAAATAAGAGTAGGCCATAATGCTACTGTCCAGGCAAAATTTCCTTCGTAGCACACTGTATCAGCCAAGTCGGAGCAGAGAGATAGGATGTTAAACCCATTTCATTTTATTTCACAAACTTATAGAGTCTTACAAACCTCCACATTTCTCAAATACTATGCTTGAAAACTCTAATTCTTAAATTAGTTGGCAACTTATATAACATATATCTGTACGATAAGTGATATTATCCAGCGATAAACAATGGACATTATATGAAATTATTGCAAGAATAGAAGCTGAAACTGTTAGAACCTTTAAATTAATATCCATATTCAACATTACGATAAAAGACTGATTATTGATGACTGATTATTTCGGTTTGTTAGTGTTAGAATTTAAGATCAAGGAACAAATTATTCTGGCTTATAATATGTTTAGCGACAAGATCAACAACAGTGATTTTCCAACAATGTTACAAATGCGGGAGCAAACACTGAATTTCCTAATCAATATGCATATTCAACATTTAGTATCATAAAAGAAAGATCAATGACCACAGATTATTTTGGCATGAATTCACTTACATGTATTGCTACTTTAACACTGTGTAGACTGTAGAGTATTCAATTTGCTCTATATGACTAAATGCTAACTGAATGGTTGTTAGAAATCTTAACCTGCACTATCGCTATATTAGATGGGTGTGGACTTCCATTGTAATAGAAAGTCATATCGTAACAAAAACTGCTTCATAGAATGATCCATTTAATATGATAATTAGGTATAATTGTTACTTGCCAGTATTTAAATCTCGTCAGTAATGCGTCATCTTGAAGTATGAAGCTTTAGTACCACTGTTTACACATATTGTATTGTATATACAACAGCTAGTTGGGTGTGGAATTCATGATGATTACAGTCACTTATAATCTTTACTATGGCTGTTTAAATTTTTAACAGAATGTATTGATAATGTTTTTATTTATCACAAATTATTTGTTCAGGCCACAACATTTTAATATTTAGTAGAATGTTATCTTAAATCTCATTTAAATTATAGCCTTATAAAGTATATCATACCCGGTCCAGATAAAAGTTCTTGATACTTTATGTGTGGAATTGTTTGCAGAAAATATAAACCAATTTGTCTATTGTAATGTAAAGGTCAAGTATTTGATATGGTTAAAGTTATTACTAAATGCATGTTTCTCCAAAAACTTTGGAAATGAAATGATAAAAAAGCCAAAAAAATGTGTGAAGTATAGTTTTATTTTGAAAATGAAATAAAGTTTTTGCGATTAATGAATAAACTCTGAAAATCCAATGCCCATGAAAAGGACATACTGGTACATGTAATTTCTATTTTTTTCTTTCATAAATGCCGTCTTCATTAGCCTAGTCGGAGCAGAACAGTAGAATGTTACACCCCATTTCATTTCATATCATAAATGAATTACGATATTATAACCATTAGCGCTGATCCAGAAGAACTAGAAATAAATGGGTGTTGCCTCATTGTTTGTCGTAGCCTTTCATGTTTGGATTTCTTATCAATAAGTACTTATTATTTATAATTATATACATGCGTTGTACTTTTAAAATATGATTTGTAATTTACGTCTGTTTGGTTTGTATTTAATCCTTTCATCTTATGACTATTCAGTGTACGGTTTATTGAATGGGCGCACCAGGACATTTCTTCTCTTGGTTCGTATTCAGTCTTCGCGTGTCAGTTTGCCTTTTTTATTTGAAACAATTTTTTTTTCTGTTTACCTTTAGAAAAGATTAAATTGTCGGTGTAAAGGTTGCGTAAGCTGCTTATGTTTTTTTTAAATTATATTAAAAGGGTTAAATTTTCATAACCTTTGTAGCGAGAGCTTATTACCGAGTTTTGACACTTTGAACCTAATAAAATAGCATGTCAAATAATGCACTCGTTTCTGAATGAAATAAAATTTGTAATCCGGGCAAACACTTGCCAAAATGACACGTTACCCAAATATGAATAATTCCTTCATAATAATATGCGAACTTCGTGGGTTTTCTTCCGGTCCATGCGGACGAATTATTGAAATAGTATTAAACCATATGTTAGTCCCGAAATGACCTGGTTTGTGTCGAGTGGACATTAAAGCCCATCTCTCTCTCTCTCTCTCTCTCTCTCTCTCTCTCTCTCTTCCATACAAAATTAACCAGTTTTATTTAATAAATTAAATCTGATACAATTCTTGCTTAAAGAGGCATTATAGGGGAGATTAGATAAAGAGGTGATTGTTCTCGCTATAATACTTCAAACTTACGTAACGTAAATAAAATATGTTGAAAATTTCAGTCAAATTGCTCCACTCTGAACCGAAATATTATCTAAAATTGAATTTCAAGCCTAGCCTCGATGATCATTACTAAAGTCGGTAATAAGATGACATCGAGAGTTGATTATGGTCTGGATAAGTTAATTAATGTCTAATTAATAATTTAGGTAACATTTCAAGCCTAAAGAAAGACCTGCAATAGGCAGATTTAGCTCTTGCATAATGTATATTTAAAACTACATTAAATGTAGTTTCCTACATCAATCAAAAAATCCATTTGTAAAATCATTAGATTTATGTATATTTTTGTCATTTTGTATTTATTAATAAACAGATTTATTAATTTAGATTCAAAATTGAATTTGAAATAAATGGAGCCTATTAATCAATGAAAAAACGACAATATAACACGGTGTTATTATAACATTTGTGTAACATGTCATGGTCATATTATACATGTATACATTGTAGCTTGATTTATAAATGGGTGTGTCTATCTGATACCTACATGACCACACCCTCTCTGTTTAATAAATTTGTAATGTATGAGATTAAAGCTGGAGGCGATAGATGTCAGGTTTTGTAAAAGTATGTAATAAAAAGTTTGTTAAATTGTTACAGGCAAAATAAATTCTCTCTCATATTCATAGGATATGTAAATATCCTAGAAATTTAAGGGAGGAGTCCAAGGAAATATAGCAATATACATGTAACTGCTCTGTCAGATATTAAAGTTTAAATTGATCCAATTTTTTTCTAAAAATTGCTTCTAGAGTTATTGTCCCTTTGTAGAATATCACAAATACTCCAACAACTGTTATCATCCATCTTTTAAAACTGTTTGAATGTTTATGCCTGTTTGGTAAGTTGATCGGGAATTCTGTTAACAATTTGGGGAAGCCATGTTCACTTAGTGAGAATGGTGCAGGCTCGTTAACTAGGAGGTACAGGGTTTTATCCCAGTGTTGACTGAGAAAGGTCCTCCAGACAAGTTCATCCTTGTCAATGGTGCAAAAAAAGAGGGCATGTCAAGGAAAATGCCTAGTTGATTGGATTGGACAAAAATGAGGTAATGCGTACACATTGGAGTGCACATAAAAGATCCCTTGGTAGTTCGGATTCAAAGCAGTGTATGTGGAACCAACACTGTTCGGGCATGGCATATACCCATAAACATTTTCCTGGTTGATACATAAAAGTAGGATGTCTCATAAATTAATGACAGAAAGAGTTATTTCCCTTAATTGCAGAGCAGCACAAGTTATCTCTAGACCTATTTGAATAAATTTTATTTGCATTGTTTAGATAGTAAAATGAATGAACTTTTCAATTGTTCTGATTGTTACATATTATTGTCAGAGAAATTTAAAGGTGAAGTCCAGTAATATGTCCTAGATTTTTCCAGAATAAAGATTAGATATAGCGTTTAAGACACAACTGAAAGTACACATATTTCTAACTCTAAAGAAAATTTTGTTCAAAAAATTATTCTAATCGATAAAGTTAGTTTCTTATCATTTCACACGGCCATCTTTACTTCTCTTAAATATGGTAATAATAATTGATGAATTTTCTTTTATACACGTGTGATGAGTTACCTGATGATATAACAACAGTCAATACATTATAATAGGAGGGGATGGGTGGCCGAATTGTTTAGATCATAAAGTCTGTCATTGAGTCAAGTTGCGAGGTTTCGATTCCCCCACTTGTACATGACAAGAATTAGGGTCGCCTGTCCAACCTCTTGGGCTTTCTCCAGGTCCCCTGGTTTCCTCCTACTGCTGGTGCTAAAAAAAAAACCTACACGCAATCAAATTATTGAAATAAGATGTTGGTCCCAAAATGACCTAGTTTGTGTCGTAGATATTAAACCACATTTCTCTCTCACTTTAAAATAGTGCAAATTTTTGACAGATGAAATATATTGCTTGTTGTGCTTGTAAATAGTACTTAGATGTAATAAAAATGAAGAAATGAGGAAATTTGTACCAGAGAAATTTGTGCTGGACAAAACCTGAATTTGAGCCCAATATTGCCAATGGCACTTGGCTTTTTTCC